CTAGTATTCCCTAAGATGTGGTTCCCAACAAACTAAAGTAGTGAACATCACTTAAACAAGAGCGAGAACAGAGTGTAGAGTTCAAGTTCCCCGTTAATAGATATTGTCCGTTTAAGTTCATTACGTATAGCAGTTAAGCTTATGGTTTTAAAACGTGTCTACTAGAAAGAAGGTTTCCACCCTTTTATAACAAATGTTTTGCTCCTCTCCGACCAGTGTTTCCTCTCCAATCCATGTGGGATCTTACAATCCATCTCCCTTAGAAGCTAGTGTCTTCACTGGCACATTGACTGTGATTACTATTTGTAATGACTTAAGTCCACTACTAGCAGATATTGTCTATTTCAACCTATTACATATCATCGTCACGCTCATAGGTTAATAACACATCCACTGAAGAGAGATTTTCACATTCTTGTAACAAATGTTTTGTTTTCCCTAACATATCTTAACAACAAAAATAAAATTGTAGAGTTTATAAAAGATTATTGGTTAATAAATTAAAACTCAATAACTATATTTCAAAATTAATTAAGAAAATGAAGTTTTGTGTGTGATTAAGTGGAATAATCATTAAAATAAATAAATAAATTAATAAATAAATAAATTATTTTGGGAGCTGGGTGTTGTCGCATTCACAACCAATTAATCTACACAAAATTATTCCAAATGGTTAGGTATAAGGTCGGTCGTGGCATTAATTTATGTTAGGTATGATATTATTGATTTGATTATTATTTTTTTTAAGAATGAAATCGCGAAATTACTTAATTAATTAATGATTCGATATCATGTTTTCAATAGTTATTAGAGCATATTATTGATATTATATTTAATAGTTAGTATTATATAACAAAATACTAAAAATAAAAATATATTTATTTAATTAAATTTTGTTTATACAAAAGATTATTATGAATTGGAAAAAAAAGAATATATTGTCTTCTATCATTTATTACCTTCATTACTTTGTATTTAGCGAAAGTCGTCGCCATTTGACTTAGTCCTCTCCCAACTATTGCCACTGCACGCAAGGGGGAAATAATTATTATTAAATAGTCAATTTGTTAATAAAATAATAATAAATGTCTAGACGTGCAACGTAGATTATCGTGTGCCTTTTTCTAGGCTGTACGAAGTTTATACCTAATTTTATATGTTATATGAACTGTTGAGAAGTCTTCAAAATTTCGAGTGGTTCGCTTACATGCCACATACTCTATCAAGGCTTAAAAGTCATTCTCTAGATTCTAGCATCGTGGATCCTCTGGAGGGCGAATCTCGTCTTGGAGTGAACCGATCTTTTTGTTCTCATACTTAGTAAGCTTGTATTGCCACAACAGTAAGCGACTGGTATTCTGAGTTTGAGGTGCAACCTCGTAGAATCTGTTAGGACAGTATGACATCTAGCAAGTCTAAACATCATCTACAAATGTTAGCCGGTGAACCTTCCACAAGGCCTTATAAGCACTCTGAATCTAGGGAGAGTTTTACGCCCCCTGTTCCAAAGAGGTCCTGTTCAGGAAACCTCCACCCATTTCCACTAGATAAGACATTCTGGTTGCCTCAATGCACTACACTATCATTCTTAGGCCTAACTTAGACGATACTACTCCTATACTTCTACCACTAGGTTGGACGCTACTGGTGCCAAAGACACACTCGAAGGGATGGGAGGCAAAGGCTCTATGACACCATTCACACTACTACCCCTATTAAACTTTCATTGTCGTCTCTATCGTGGATGTTTACTAGGTTTTTAGGAGTGTCTAGACGATATAAATCTCATTTCTTGTTTCCAAGACACTCTCCCTAACGACACAACACGTATTCTCGTGAGGCGCCAGACTCATGGCTCGAATCTTACCTTACTTTATGCTACTAATTATGGTTGATACTTTTATATTTTAATCAAAGTAGAATAAACTCTTTAAGAATATCAAATTTGAAAGAGGTTGTTGAGCTTGCAAAATATGGAGAACATTTTTATGCAATTAAAAATATATGACCAAACTATAAATTAATTATCACACACGTCCATGAACCTTAGTAGAGAGACGCGAAGCTAAGACAACTTGAAGAGGGATTTTCTTAGTAATGTTCAATGCAGCAATTTCTTCCATATTGAGTGGCTCTTCGGATGGTCGTCCAATTTCAAACTCATGAAGAAGCCTCGCAAGCGACAAGTGCAAAACTTGGAGGGCAAAAGTCACCGCAGGGCAAATTCTTCGACCAACACCAAACGGTATCAATTGGGGATTTCGTCCTTTAACATCAAACTCCTTTTGAGTTGTCAAAAACCTCTCGGGACAAAATTCGTTAGGATTCTCCCAAACGCTTGGATCTCTTTGGAGCCTATAAAGATTCACCCACAGTCGTGTCTTTGCTGGGATGTGATACCCAGCAACTATACAATCTTCCGTAGATTCATGAGGGACCGAGAGCGGTGCTGCTGGGTACATACGCAATGTTTCTTTCACAACAGCTTGGAGATATATCAAATTTTTCAGATCCGATTCTCTCACTACCCTGTCTCTCCCAACATGTTCGTCTAATTCCTTTTGAACCTTCTCGTATGCTTCTTCACGATTGAGGAGTAAAGAAAGAGCCCAAGTCATTTCAGTGGTGGTGGTGTGAAATCCCCCCAATATCAGAGCCTACACAAATTTCAACTAATTTAGTCATTGGGGTTAAAAATTGAACTTACTTTGCAAATTAATGGATTTTTTCATACCAAACAGGTAGATTTGATGATCGTGTCGGCATCGTAGCCGGAAAACTCTTCATTGTCGATTAAAGACAACATAACGTGCATGAAATCCTGCTCTTCCGGCTCCACTTCGCCGGAATTTCTCCTCTCACGATGCTCTGTGAGCCATTTATCAAGCATCTCGTCCAGCACCTTTGCCGTCTTCTTCATGGCCTTCTTATGACCTCCAAAGTCGAACCATTTTAGGAACGGAAACAAATCCGACGGAACAAACGCTGTAAACAAACTAAAAAAATCCTCCAACGCGTGCCGATACAATGCCCCGCCGCTACCTTCAAAAGCAGTGGTGAATCGTTTTCCGACCACCATCCTGAATATGGTATTCAGCGCTATTTCTCCGAACCACGTCTCCATCTCCACCAACGCTTTCTTGCCTCCATCACTTAATTTGCAGAGCTGGTGTAGTTTCTGGATCGAGCTTTGAACCTCTGATGTTAGGATGTGTTTAAGCTTCTCAAGTCGATGGTTGGCGAGGAGTTCAAGCGTGGCTATCTTACGCAAATGGCTCCAGTGTGATCCGTATTGGCTTAGCGCAAACATGGCATAATCATAGCCAAGTAGCTGTGCGGCAGCAAACTTGGGGCGGGAGGCAAATGCTTTGTCGTTCACAGTTAAGCACTCCCTTGCCACCTCCCAGCCGCTCACAATCAAGGTTCGGTGGGCGCCTAATCTTAACATGAAGATTGGTCCATAAACGTGGGCCAATTTTCCCAACGCGGTGTGAGTTGGTTCTTTTGCAGTTAGTAAAGGGAGGTGGCCGATGACCGGCCAACACCGCGGGGTTGGGGCGGTAATCTGTTGCGGTGAGCAGAAAATATAGTGAAGAGAGCATAAAGAAAGAAGAGAAGGGCAAAGATCGCTGGCAGAGCAGTGGTAGGTGAGGATATGTTGGGAAGTTCCATTCTTCGTGGGTTACGGTTGGTTGCTGTTTGGAGATGAAGGATCCTTGTAATGATTTATGATGGGTTGTTGTGCGACAATAATTGAGATAGACAAATTTTCTTATTGGTGTTCATTCAACTTTCCTTATTTTAAAAAATTTATATAATATATATATTGTATATATCTATGAGCACATCTTTCTTCAATTATTGTACTAATTATTATTATTATTTTTTTTATATCACTAATCAACGGTATCAATTAATCAAAAACGTGGTAAATTAAGTAAATTATATTGGGAACAGGCTGTTGGCGCATCTACAACTATATTTTTCTCATTTAAATAATTGAATAAGCAATTGGAGACCTTTTCTTTGCAGGAGATTCTCTTTCTCGGGTTTCTTTGTATATCATAAATATGATACTTGAATAGATGAGAGATACATAAATAAACTAAAACCCTATTCAAATGAGAGGAACCACGAGGATAGAATAGTCAATAAATGTTTAAAAGAATTGAAAATTATATCTATACCTATCAAGAGCATCTTTCTTTCTTTGCCGCTCAATCTTAGTAATTTTCTTAAAATGCATGTAAATAAGGAAAAAAATATGCGGAAAGAATCTGTGTTGTTATGTGGAGATAGTCTTCACTCTTAGAAGCGAGAAGTAGCTAAGGTGACCATGTCGTAAGGGATGCACGAGAATGCTAGAGCCATCAGGTGTCAAATCCAAATTTTGAATCCTAATAAAATGAAAACTTATATTGAATTGAGATTCAAGGCATGATATCTCTCCTGGGGATCCCCATGTCTCATTAGCCCATACGGCCCCTGAAAGAATACCTATGCTTAAAAAGATAAACCCTAGACTAATAATACGATAACTCCAATGATCTAATTGTTGAATCAGTTGAGACTTATAATAATTTTTATAAGAAAAAAAATAAGTGTTTCTTAAAACATTATTCTCTTCGTTCATGTATTGGATCTCATCAAAGGAAAATAACGCATTTAATAAATGATTGTTTTTACCAAAAATTCTTATAGAGTTTTGAAATGTAATCACTATATGGGGATCATCTCTCCTAGTCTTGATCTAGCCGGTTCCCTTGAAATGATCTCGAGCTACTTACTCCCTCTTCTCTTTAAGTCAAGCTACTGTCTCTCGCTGCTTCGTTCCTTTCCATCAATTCATTCGTTTAGGGCAAGAGCGAAAGCGAATGTAGTAGTAGTAATAATAATAATAGTAATAATAATAATAATAATAATAATAAAAAAAGTACCAAAAATTAAAATGAAAACTTATCTACTTATCTAACACTGATCTCTAATCATTGGTTTTGCAATCAGCATCGTAAACCAATTCATCCATGTTCGAGAGTCAAATAACTCACTATAAAGTAACTTACAGACATCTAAGATATTTGAAAACGAACATAACTTTTTAAGAAACATGACCACTTGAATGTTAAAATTTATAGTGAGAGTAAATGAAAATTTGAGGGCTCAAGAAGGCATGGTTGTAGCCAGTGTGTAGAGCCATTGCTAGCCATTGTGCTGCAAGAGTGCGGGACTGAAGCCGATGAGCACCTCAAAGGTGAAGATGGCCAAGAAATGGGCATGGGCATGGACATGGGGGCATGTAGGAGCACCTTCATTCCCGGCATTCATTTCTACTCATATTTTCTTAATACAATAATAAAAACACACTAAACTTTGTTATTTTAAACTTTATTATTATTTGCATCCCCATAATCCAATTGCCAACTAGGTCTTCCAAGAGTGAACTCTAAATTAATCCTTTGCAAAACGTCACCGTTTGAGTTGGTCCTCTCGCAACTATTGCCTCTGCACACAGATAAAGAAGATGATGATGATGATGAAGAAGAAGAAGAAGAAGAAGAAGATAAAACCCCATCTGCTTCAATCTCAGGCCTTCCATAATCGTCTGCAACAAAAAAAAAAAAAAATGAAGCTTTTTTATTTATTTTCAGATCTGAAGAAGTCAGGAAGAACAGTGTTTGCATTGAAGAACAGACAGTGTTTTTATTTATTACCTGTTCCCTTCTTCACACTGTTCTTCACTGTTCGGAACATCTGCATCCACAACAAACCAAAAACCTTTTTCTTTTTAACAGCCTTGCGTTGTAGTTGATGTAATTTTAGATGCTTTTTTGTCCTTTCACTTTTGTACTCTCTCTTTTACTCCCCCATCCCATATCAATGAATCTTGAAAAATGTTATGTTTTATGCGAATAAGATAAATATTATGGGACAAAAACAACCTCTTTCAACCCACATGTACCCGAATCATTATCTCGACCTAAAAACTAGACTCGAAAACTCTATCAATAGCTTAGTAGCCACAACGGAATCATTAGCTCCTTCTTGCGAACCACGAGAGCGCCGTGATGGGTCTCCCATGGAGATGCAGGAACAGCTAACTGAATCGACCTACAATGATAGGCCAAAGGAATAGGCTCATTTGACTCCCTGACCCTACTTAAGACCTCAAGTGCTTTCGAACTTCTAACTCTATAAACTTGTATGACTTGCTTGTTCGAGCAAACAAATGACTAGCAGGACCGAGGAACCACAATAAACGAGACAACAAAAGTTATACAAGAATATGAGTAAACTAATCCTATCGAGAGCAATTTTCTAATGAACGAGAGAAGAAATGTTAGACCTTTTGAGAAAATAAAAAAATAAAATTACTAGAGTTTGTGCATAAAATAGACAAAATATAATACCATTTTGGAGGTAATCGGGAAGAGAAAACAATCAAAGTACCTGCAAATGGCTTTTGACATGAGCTAGGGTTAGATCCTTGACATTCATAAGCTCCAATACTGATTTTGGAGTAGCTCCTGAAATAGATACAAAAATGGGTATTAATGGAACAACGAAAGTTTTGATTTTTTTTGACAAAAATAAGAATGATGTGTTTAAGGTTATTGGTTTTGTTGTGTAATTACTTTCATGGCCGCCAAGAAGCTCAACAGCGTGTACAAAATGAGCATGAAGCGTCGTAGTCCATCTCATTCTAGGAGCTCGGATGCTTCTTCTCACTCCACACCCGCCACCACTTCGTTTAAAGTCACGGCGGCGGCCATGGACGACGTTATAAGCTTGGTGACGAGAACGAGGACGACCCACATGGCCCGGTTCATATCCTAAGCGGAAGAAACCATTTTGATGGGTCAAATCAGAATTGTGAGAGGGCGGGGCGAAGAAGGGGAGGCTGATGTGCAAGGAGAGGTCCGGCGGGTTCATGAGTAGGGCGTTGGAGGTCAGAAACATGAGAGAAGGGTGACAGAAAGATGAGGGGTTTAAAGGGTAATGAGTGGGTTATGATTTGAAGAGCAAAAGGAATGAATAACATATATTGGATGTATTAAGAATGAAGAGTGGATGGAAGAAAAAGTTAAAGGAAAAGAGGGAGTCTTAAGTATTTAATGCTGCAGAAGGGCAGAAGTGCAGAAGAGAAAGAGGGAAGATGTTCTTATCTTTTTAAGAATAAAGCTTAAGGAGAAGAAAGAGAGAGATGTAATGGCGGTTTGTGAGAAGGGAATGTGGTTGGAAATCGTGAAAACAAAATGGGGACTGTTGGATGGAATATTGGAGGCCTAATTTGGGTCTCACTCTACCTTCATAGATGGTGACCCTTCTCAATTTTCCATTCATTTTTCTTTTTTTCAACAATATCTATTCACCCTCAGTTTCAGCCGTTAAAAATAGTATCAAACTTAGTCACCTACGGGTGTACTAGCAAGAACACTAGCCTCCAACGAGGTAGAATATAAGATAACTATTACAAATAGTATCAAAGTCAGTCATTGAGTAGTGTCAACAAGAACACTCACTTCCCACCATGAAAACCTCTTAAAAAAAAGGGGTAGATTGTGAGATCTTGAGTCAATGGGAGAGAAGGACAAAATATTCCTTATAAAGATATGGAAATTTTGAAGAACGGTGAGGCTAATAGTAGTTATACGTCCGTGAATTAATTCATACGCATGGTAGGATATGATCTGCAAAATAATCGTGTGGAAGTGGAACTATCCAAATGCTTTTAGACTTCGAGCTGCACAAGTGCAATTTCCTTGCCAAAAAATAAATATTTGTTAGTGGTGGGGTTTGGCTGCTACAAATAGTATTAAATCCAAACACCGGAGGTGTGTCGTGTGGATTGTGAGATCTCACATGGGTTAGAGAGGAGAACGGAGCATTTCTTATAAGGGCGTGGAAATCTAGCATACGCGTTTTAAAATCATGAGGCTGACGGTGATACATAACGGGTTAAAACGGAGAATATATGCTAGCGATGGGTTTCAGCTGTTATACTGACACACAACGTATAGTTTTGATACCATTTATAACAGTCTGAACTTACCGTTAGTGGACAGAAGACTAGCTTTGGAACTAGGTGTGAGGTTGGAAGGCAGGTGTGGAAGTGCACCCAGAGAGTAGCTGGTTGAATAGCGCCAGATTCATCGGCGGCAAGATGGGGTTGGGGTTATGTTGGGCTCACGTGACCATCAAAACTCCCCATGTTTTTTGGTATATGTAGTTTAGTTGCTGTTTTGAGAAGCGTTTGGGTATCTTATCTGGGGCTCGACAATCCATGTCTTTGCTTAATTAAATCACAAACAACACCAACATGGAGCATAGTGGATGGGCGTTGAGTTGAAACAACGTCGATTACATTATTATTATTATATAATTGGGCCTCCATCCATGCACGGTCAGCGACTGATGCGCTCTAGATTCTTTCCCACCGCATCACTCAAACCCTTTAAACCTCTCACCGCAACATGTTGTATCTTGCATTCTTGTCAATACCCTCGTGTTGTTTTCAACGACCCACTCACCCATTTGCCATTTGGGCATCATTTCTATGTGTTTGAGTATCGATGAAACGACAAAAAAGAAAGGAATCGCCGAAGCCCACGGCGTTTAGGCTTGTGTGCACCTGCCACACATTACATAATAATAATAATAATAATAATAATAATATATTGTATTATGGTTTCCAGTGAAAGGAAGTTGAGGCCCATCTGAAACTGCGAGTAGACGCCAAGTTTTGGAGGTTGTGGGTAGACAAAAGGAATGGAAATTATAGCCGTACAGATTATTCATAACAAAATATGAAGAAAGCTAGAAAAGCTTGTAAGCTTTTTTGAGGGGACCCGGTGAGGGCCTGTTCGGATCAGAGGGTCATGTGGGTTGCCTCAGTGCTTCCTACCCCCATGCTACTAAACTTTGTGCATCATATATTTTGGCTTCAACTTCGCTCGATTCTACGAATTATTAGATACTTTTAGAAGCTTAGATCAAGAAAATTAGTAATTTAATTTATACCTATTTAAGATATATATAGACGTTACATCCAAATAGCGGGTGCATAGTCCAACTTCCGACACATGTTTAGGGTCCAATACTGACACACCTGTGACGTTCAATACTATCTTTGAAAGACCCTTTTCAAAAGAGAACACCCGTGACGCTCGCTCATGCTATGACACATAGGGTAGCTCACTTAGATCATAGAGCCTAAGGGTGACAGAGAGCCAACATCATGTCCACCCATGAGGTATATTTTGAGGCATATTCAAATTGGTGGGTGTAAACATGATTTTAGTGAACGGACATATAGTATCGTGAAACATCCATCTAATGTCTAATTGACACTAAATTCAGCTCATCATTTTTAAAGTAAGTATTTTATTTCCATTAAAAATGTGTTTTGAAATAATATATTAAAGAATATAAATGTGTGGGTTGGTTGAGATTGAATAATTTGTTCTCCTTGTGGTCAGTATTTTCGTGTATTTGTTAGGGCCACCTGCAGTCACGGAGTGACCAATTTTTTATTTGGTCCAAACCTTTGTTGTATTCATCAATCCCTTTCACCTTTTTTTTTAATTTTTTTTTATTATGTTTCTAATAATGTTAGGACTTTTTTTAAGTCGAAGGAACACGCCACCTATCATCCATTCGTTCATTTTTTTAAACGAAGTTGAGCTTTCAAGTTTTTAGCCGTTAGTATCTGTCAATATTATTAAGTCACCGATTTTTATAATTAATTTAGTGTAATATATATATGTATATATATATTTCAAAGTGACAGATGCTGCTATTAATACTCAAAATTAGTCAAGCTTTTTTTTTCTTTTATTAAGAAAATTGCAACTAATTATCTATAAATTTTAAACGCAATGATTTGTTTGGTCGTAAACTGATCTTTTACTGGAAAAGTACGAAAATACATCTAATTGGGCCTTTTGTAGCCCAAGCCCACTTCTTCAAATATTAATTGGGCCGGTCTGATTCCTTACGGTTCTAGACTGCCGGGCCTGAAAATTAGAAGGCAGCCCAACACTTTTTATTATAAATACATAGGTAATTAATTTATTGATTAAAGTTATTAGTAATTCGATTAATCTATACCATTACATTTTTTGTTTGAGTTGGGTTGAATTTTTAGAAAACTGCAGATTTAGATCCGTGTCGTGATATTTTCTTTTTATTTGGTCAAACTCAACCAACCAGAAAATAGGATTACAATCTAGTCTCATTTTATCCCACTCTTATAAATTTAATTTTTTTAAAATAATTTAAAAAAACAACTTTATAATTCACCTCAACATAATCGGGTTAAGTTAGGGAGTCAACGACCTAACTAATCCAAAAAAAAATAATATTTTCTCATGGTTAAGTTTTAACTATTTAAGCCTATTTTAATTAATTAGGATATTATTATTATTTTAAAACGAGAATAACTTCTTTATATATATATATATAGAACTGAATTTAATTTAATTACAATAGTTAAAAAAAGAAAAGAAAAAGAATATATATAAAATACAATTTTGTGGCGAGGAGTTGGGACCGATGAGCGAATAGCAGGGGAAGGCCAACGCCGGATCGCGCTGAAGTTGGAGAGCAAAGCAACTGCGGAAGAGAGCGACGATGACGGTGTTTCATTTCTTCAACTGCGCAATTCTCACTTTCGGTCCTCATGCTGTCTACTACTCTGCAACGCCCTTGTAAGGATCTCGCTTTTTCATCTTCCTTGCATCTCCTTCTACTTCTTTAGATCTCCTGTTACTCGCACTGTCTCTTCAGGCCCACAGTGATTTGTTGTATTGAAATTCTCCTCACTTTGCTTTGTTTGGAATGATTTCTTGCTGTTTAATCTTGGATTGCTTCAATTTTAGTTCCTCTGCTGGTCCGGAGTGATTCGTTCGGTTGAAATTCCGTTCTCCTTGCTTTGTTTTTGTATGATCTATTGATATTTCGTTTGGACTGTTCAAGTTATTAGTTCCGATTTGTACGGAGCTGTGTGTCTGAACTGGATTAGAGAATCAGTTTAGAAGCAGTCTCTATTTTGCAAAGTACCGAAATGCTTAATGACTTGAGTCGGCTGACCAACTTCCTTGTTTTGATGAAATGGAATTGCTGTAGTTTATTAGGGTAGTGGAACGGTTTGTATTCCCAGTGCCACGTTCTGATTTCTACCATGTACGATTTGGTTGCCATAGCTACCAAAATAAGCAATATAAGTCAGTTAAGACAGCTTCATGCGCATCTTGTTCTCAATTCCCTCCAATCTCAGAACTACTGGGTTTCTCTGCTCCTCACTATCTGTACTCGTCTTCACGCTCATCCTGCCTATGCGGCTTCTATTTTTACCTCCTCGCCCTACCCCAATGCTTCTGTTTATAGTTGTATGCTCAAATATTACTCCCGCATGGGTGCCCACGACGAGGTGGTTTCTCTCTTCCGATGCATGCAGTGTCTAGACCTCAGGCCCCATCCCTCTGTTTATATATACTTGATTAAGTTAGCTGGGAAATCTGGCAATTTGTTCCATGCTTCTGTCCTGAAGTTGGGTCATATTGACGACCACTTCATCCGTAATACTATATTGGATATGTATGCAAAATATGGCCAAGTGGATCTTGCTAGGAAGTTGTTTGAGCAGATGCCTAACAGAACTCTAGCGGACTGGAATTCAATGATTTCTGGCTGTTGGAATTCGGGAAATGAAGCTGATGCAGTCATGCTGTTTAGTATGATGCCTGATAGGAATACTATTTCATGGACTGCCATGGTTACTGGGTATGCTAAGATGAGGGACTTGGAGACTGCTAGAAGGTATTTTGATGAGATGCCAGAGAAAAGTGTAGTCTCGTGGAATGCCATGCTATCAGCTTATGCTCAAAATGAATGTGCAGAAGAGGCTTTGAAATTGTTCCATCGCATGCTGAAAGAGGGAATCACTCCTGATGATACAACATGGGTAGCTGCAATTTCATCTTGCTCTTCCATAGGCAATCTTAGCCTTGCTGATTCACTTCTAGCAAAGATTAACCAAAAGCATGTTATTTTGAATAATTTTGTCAAAACGGCTTTACTTGACATGCATGCAAAATTTGGTAACCTTGAAATTGCTAGAGGAATTTTTGATGAATTGGGAGGTCAGAGGAATGCTGTTACTTGGAATGTCATGATCTCAGCATATACAAGGGCAGGAAAACTGTCATTAGCTCGGGAGCTGTTTGACAATATGCCAAAAAGAGATGTTGTTTCATGGAATTCAATGATAGCTGGTTATGCACAAAATGGAGAGTCTGCCATGTCAATTCACCTATTTAGAGAAATGATTGATTGTACGGATATACAACCAGATGAGGTCACCATAGCTAGTGTCTTATCGGCCTGTGGACATATTGGGGCTCTGAAATTTAGTTGCTGGGTTCTAAATATCGTTCAAGAGAAGAACATAAAGTTTGGCATTTCAGGATTCAATTCTTTGATATTCATGTACTCTAAATGTGGAAATGTGGTTGATGCCCATAGGATATTCCAAAATATGGGGACGAAAGATGTTGTTACTTTCAATACACTGATTTCAGGATTTGCAGCCAATGGTCATGGGAAGGATGCTATCAAGTTACTGTTAACAATGGAGGAAGAAGGCATTGAACCAGACCATGTCACATATATTGGTGTTTTGACTGCATGTAGTCATGCAGGAATGCTGAAAGAAGGTAAAAACATCTTTAAGTCAATTAAAGCACCTACCGTGGATCACTATGCTTGTATGGTTGATTTATTAGGAAGAGCAGGTGAATTAGATGATGCCAAAATATTAATTGAATCTATGCCAATGAAACCTCACGCTGGTGTTTATGGCTCTTTGTTAAATGCCAGTCGAATTCACAAGAGAGTTGAGCTGGGAGAACTTGCTGCTAACAAGCTCTTAGAGCTTGAACCTCAAAACCCAGGAAATTATATTTTACTTTCTAATATATATGCCTCTGCCGGAAGATGGGAAGATGTTAGACAGGTTAGAGAGAAGATGCGGAAGGGAGGTGTCAAGAAATCAGTTGGAATGAGTTGGGTGGAATATAAGGGTCAAATACATAATTTCACTGTGGGTGATAGATCGCATGAATGGTCAAAAGATATTTATAGATTATTGGCTGAACTTGAAAGGAAGATGAAGAGGGTTGGCTTCGTAACTGATAAAAGTTGTGCACTGCGAGATGTTGAGGAGGAAGAGAAGGAAGAAATGCTGGGGACTCACAGTGAGAAGTTGGCCATTTGTTTTGCTCTTCTTGTCAGTGAAGTGGGGACACCAATTAGAGTGGTGAAAAATTTGAGAATTTGTATGGATTGTCATACAGCTATTAAGATGATCTCAAAGTTAGAGGAAAGAGAGATTATTGTCCGTGATAATAATAGGTTCCATTGTTTTAGTGAAGGGATATGTTCTTGCCATGATTACTGGTAAATTGGCAAAGAGCAAATTTATGGATAAAATTCATTTGCATAAAGAGAGATTGTAAGCACAACCCGGCCTTCAATAGTGAATCACGCAGATTACCATACTTGTCTTGTCACCATATTCAGCTTTTAACTGAAGAACACTTTATGATAGGTCCAAGGATCAATATCAAAGAGCATTGTATCTGTGTGATGTACCTTACAAGAGTTATGCATTAGGAGTTTGTTAGTTTTATTTTTCTACCAATGCATTCATAAATCAACTGAGCGAACCATGTTTATCAGGGGAAAAAAAGATAAAGAGAGACTGGCCAGTTGGAATGTTCGAAGTTTTTTTTTTTTTTTTTTTGATGATGTAATCTAAGAATTGCATATTTTCTTCCTCACAGAATCGATGAATGCATGGTCTAATCTCTGGTTCTGTCATAATTTTATGTTTTTCTATAAGTCACGGTTTCATTTCACTGAGAACTCTAGCTATACAGATCTGAGTATGACACACTTGGAACGTCAGTCAAAGCGGCACTGGTTTACCTTGGAACGGCCTTAGTAAAGGTTTGTGATTTCTGAACACTTCAAGGTTGATTGAGACCTTGAATTTCTCTCCATTGTATATTATTGTCTTTTCACTTCTCCATGAATCTCACTGATATTTTTCTATGCATTCTTGTCAGCTTGTATGCCTTGCAACCTTCCTTAACGTGTCAGAGAATGACTCCTTTGACCTATATCAGGTATTAATATTCTTTTCATCTGTGATTGGTGAAAGAGATTTTTTTAATATATTTTAGTGTACATCTTAATTCCATCAGTTGTAATGCCTAGTATCTTTTCTACTTTGTAATTCTCTGACTTGGAAAATTAAAGACTTCATTAACCTTGGATGTCGGGACAAAATTATTGGTTGCTTGGCTATAATCCTCATCTGGGAAACTTAAATTATTATATTCCACACTGCATTCAACCTTTCTGGTTGATTGGATTGGTGTTGGTGGGTGGGAAGGTTTAGTTAGTCTATTGTTAGATCTTGTTTTTTACTATCACATATTATGTAATTTTTGTTTAATAGAACATAGAGTTAATGCTATACCATTAAATGGTTTGGAACGAAATGAATAATGCAGCCTAGTATCCAGAATTGGACAAACATGAATCAGAATAGCATTACAGAACTGTTTTTAGCGTTTAAGTGAAAAATAGTTTCCAGTCTCTATTTCATGTACTGGCCTTGATTCCATCCTCTTTTTCCCTCTTTATGGGATGTCTTCCTGTTTCATCCAATGAGCAGTGCTAAATGGTATGTCTCTTTTATTAGATCCTCATGTCAAATGTACTAACTATGCTTTTAACGAAGCCTCCATATTTTTAGGAAATTTTGTTCAAGTCGTGCCAGTAGTTATAGCGAATGTTAACAAGGTATAATTCGTGTACGACAGGAACTGTTGAAAGCGCTTATTGGTTTAATAGATGTTGCCGGACTTTACTTTGCTTTGACCCAGTTGACTTACCGGAACATTTCTCAGAACCATAAATTTCAGGCAGTTGGACTGGGTGAGTTCGTAGAGCAATTAAGTGAGGTTCTTTTGGTTTGATTGTAAATGTAGACTGCATGCACGGTTTATGTTTGATTATTTCGATCTTTCAATATTTTTCCCCATCTTCCATCTTCTAATCATTGGATGGCCTGGTTACTCTGTTCTTCTTGCCTGCAGGTTGGGCATTCGCTGATTCTGTTTTGCATAGACTTGCACCACTTTGGATTGGTGCCAGAGGACTAGAGTTTACTTGGGATTACATTTTGCAGGGCCTTGAAGCTAATGCAAATCTGGTTTCCATCTCTCTTCTTCTTCTTTATTTTAAGATACTCTTTATTTGGTTACTGCGAGAGATTCAATCATCGATTTGATTTGATTTGATTTTATTTTATTTTATTTTATTCACTTGATATTTCTTGGGTTCTTGATCTTGCATTCTGGGTGAAGTATTTGTCATGTCAGCCGCGCTGTTGCTTCTCTAATTTATGCTCCCCACTTCAATTCAGGTTTTGAGCATATCCCTTGCTGCATTGGGATCTTTGATGTGGCTTCGGAAGAACAAACCTAAAGCGCTAATTCCCATAATTTATACCTGTGCACTGATTGTGGCTACTATGCCATCAATCACAAGGTATGTAACATCAAAATTAGAAAATTTGCCACTTCTAACTTGATTCACTTGCTTTAAACTATCTGAACAACAAAAGGTATGCAACATCTATTTGGTTTTTGAAAATTGTGCCCGTTTTCCTAATATTTCTCTACAAAGAATTTCATTATTTTTAAGAAAAAGTTGGAATTCCTAACCAAACTCTAAAAACAAAACAAGTTTTTCAAAACCCGTTTTAATTTTAAAATTCAAATAAAGATGTACATAATTTTAACACAAGCTGCAAATTTTCTTTCCAGCTACTTAAGGCGGGGAATGGGTTGGCATTTCCCTAAGGTGGTGGGATTTGAACTCTTCACCTCTTTGGCGATGGCTTTTATTAGTTGGCAGCTTTTTTCTGCTTGTCAGAGACCCTCTGTTTAAGGCTATGGCACACTGGGGTTAACTATATTGAGGCTGGACGTGAATTTTGGAGGTGTGGATTGCAGATATCCTTCTACTTAACCTTCTCTTTTGCAGTGTTCCGCCTAATTTCGTTACCATTTGCAAAACCAAATTGTGGGGTTAAGTTCCAGATGTTGTAAGGTTGTAAGCTTTGTAATGTATGGTGAAAGGTAAAAGGGAGTTACATAGACGTTTAGTTCTTTTTCTTTTGAGATTTTGAATGGAAGTAAAAGGTAGCTTGCCAGGACAATGTTATCTCATTTTCCTTTCCCTACCCTCAGATTTTAAACCTTTTTTTTTTTCTCCCTTCCATTCTTTTACTGAGGAACATGATTACACAGATGGAAGAGGTTACCTCAGATCAAGGCTCTCGCGCCTTCTCATTTCATCACTATTTTATTTTCTTCTGCAAATTTTGGATGAGAAAAGTTAGAACAAGTAAAGAATGCAATTTTTAATCTGCATTTACATTAGATGATTAGAGCGACAAGTTAGCAAAATAAGAGAACACATTTCACTAGTTTCATTTCAAGAAAAAGCATAAGGAGCAGGGGGAAAAAGTGTGTACAAGTGATGCAACTCCGATTGAACCAGTCATCCGTTGCCATGGGTTAAACGACAGCCTAACCTGGGACAGGCTACAACGATAATTTTGGGGGAAAAAGATGACCGGTGACCTTTATAGCAAAAGAAAATCTAGCCATTCCTAATATGAGCAAATAATTTTTTTGATTGAGAAGAAATGAGCCGGAGTACCAACCTTACAGAGAAGGATGATTGCTTGTTGTTGGTACAATTGCTAATTCACTACAAGTTGCGACTTCACTGCTGAGGTTAAACCCTTTCTTCCCAACTCCGGTCACATGTACAAGCAATTCACACTTGCCAACAAGTTCAAAAATGCAGATATCCCCCATCTGGATACCATTGTCGCGAACAAACGACATCCAACCGCCGCAAAAAGTATGCATCATTCGCCCCATTGAGTCTGGTACTGAGTTCACAATCCAACATCCTCCATTTGGACCGCGAAGTATAATCTCAGTTTTGCTGTTAGGGAAATGTACCGAAGAAAACTGATGCGGAATTTTCTGCAACATAGAATGCCAATCAGTCCTACGAAATTGAAGCAAAGAAAATGTAAAAAATAACTGCATTGACAAACAACACTGGATCTAAAACCAAAAACTTGAGGAAGTACATGAACGGTCTAAAATAAAAGACTTACTAAAGTATATGAACCACTAGTGTTGAACTTTTTCATGATTCTGACAAAAGTTGGAAAACAAGAAGCAAATGACTTAGCTGCTCTTTCTTCATCAAGTGCTAACATTGCTCGCAACCCAAGTCTAGCTGGTAATACAAGATCGCCTTTGACACTGGTTCCCTGATTGACTGGTCATTAAAATTTCAAAAGCCATAAAACCAAGTTCTTCATATTCTTGCATATTATAACCAATTAAGGCCAGCCTAGCTTTGAGAAAATCATGAGGACACAATGAATATCCTAATACACTACAATCATCGCTTTGAGAAAATTATGGAAAAACCTCATCATGGTTTTCTTTTGGAATCTGTGGAAAGAAAGAAATCAGAGAATATTTACAGAAAGACACAGACCGACACAACTTTTCGACAATGTTGTTTACCAAGCTATATCTTGGTGTAAACTGTCTAATATTTTTACTTCCTATTGTTATACCTCCCTCATTGTAAATTGGGAAGATCTTTTGTAAACACCATGGATTATAAATCCCTCTTGTAAATTTCACTCATCAATGAAATTGTCTCTTATAAAAAAAAATATCCTAATACACTACAATCAAACTACATGCGTAAATAGAGAAGTAATAAACTCTATTTTTAATACAACTGGAGACCATAGAGAACCTTCTTTCATACTTTTTAAAAACATAATTACATGCAGATGACGTAGAGAAACCTTACCCAAACGCTTAGAAGGCTTTTTTGATTGAGAACAAACCACGACTTTGGTGGAGACCTTTTTTGCACTAGAATGTTTCCTAACATCATTGCAGAAAGGTTCTTGCCAAGACTTCGAACTTTTTTTATCATGTACTTCAATTCTTTTGGGGCATTTTGAATGAACCTTGTGAGAGTTTCCATTCATTTTCTTTGGCAAACCTTTGAGAGTTTTACGAGATATTTTTGCATGGTCAGCATCTAGCTGATTCAAAGATCCTTTTCTACTTTGATCCTCAGATATTTCCTTTCCAACCCTGAAGATGCGAACACGCAATTCACAATCCAGGACAAGCTCAAAAACACATATATCTCCCATGTTGATATCATTCCCACGCACAAAGGCCATCCATCCTCCACAAAGGGTATGACTTGTATGCACTCTTATTGTAGGAACAGAATTCACTGGCCAGGATTCCCCTTTCAAGTTGTGAAGGACCAACTTTAATTTGCAGCTAGGAAGATGTGCCATAGAAAATTGATAAGGGATATTCTGCATCACAAGAGAGGACGGCATCAGGCTTGTCCAACTGACATTTAAATGAAGGAAGGCTGCTTTAATTTATTGCTTTACGATCATCAAGAAGAAAATGAATTTTTTTGTCATCATCACCACATTTTACTTCCTTTCTTTCTTTTTGATTTTTGGGGATCGACTCACCAATGTGTATGAACCACGAACATTGAAGCTTTTCATGATTCTCACAAAATATGGATAATTGGAGCTAAATGACTGGGAAATTTTTTTCTCATCCTGAGATAATAGTGATAAGGCCAGAATTTTATCTTGCATAGTTACGTCATCAACTTTACTGATCCCATTCTGACCAGCTCCATTTTTATGGACCTCAACAGTTTTTATGGCTGGAAACAAGAAGGCATGATCCAATTAATTTCTAATCACATGCTGATAAGGAGCTGACATTCTGAATAACTATTAATAAATCACTAGAAATAATTATTTTAACCAAGTATTTTTTCCTCCTAATTCGCAGGCTAAACATGGAACTAGGAAAGAACTAGGAAAGAACTAGCAAAGAACACTGTCCACAGATATGCATTTCCCTCTACGTTCTACAAAATAAACCTTAAGACCAGAACTCAGTTTACCTGCTAGGCCCTCCCTGCACTCTGAATGAACATAAAAAATGCTCCTCATTTTCTTTGCCACAGCCTCTGCACATGTATCTGGGCATGTAGGGTCCTCTTCCCTATCTCTTTTATGGCCTGTGTTATCTTGACTGCACTGAGAATGAAATGCATCTTCTTTCTCACATGCACTCTGATCAAAAACTTGCAGAGTGAAATTCAACTCGCCATCATATCTAAATACCAAGAAATCACCGCATTCTAGGGAATTATCTCGAGCAAAGGTTGGCCATCCGTCACAGAAGAACAAGTTATCATTCTGCTGGATCAAGTCAACAAGCCAAGTATGGCCGCTAGGACCAATTAATGAGACTGATTGGCCTATTATTTCTCCTAAGTATCTGACAAATTTCAAAGGAAGTTTCTGCAATGATACGAAAATCATATCAGCACAAGACAATCCAATAGACCGCCATAAAACACAAATGGCGCTACATATTCATCTTTGATCTGAATGTACACCGGATGGTCAGAGCGCAGCTATTACTCATAAGATACATCTAGATGCTAAATGATGCAAAGACTACGCCAACGTCACGTGGAATGATTTAAACGCTAATTCAAAGAAATGTTTGATTCCACACAGAACTGAACTAACCACTATAAACTTCCCCAGAAAACAGAGACAAACAAAGACAAAGCAGTCTGTAACTTCCTAAAACAGTTTTTCCAAAAGAGCGAAGAGAAATATATAATCGAGTCCAAACTAGCCACACATGATGTACAATGACAAACGCATGCTCATATTAACCTAATTTCTCAGATGATGACAGGAAACACAGTCAGGAGAACGCGAAATCCGAAGAGATTACCAGTCGTTCTGAACAAAGAGTGGAGGAATAGAAAGCATAAAAGCAAGGCCGCCTGGAAGTCACCATCAACTGGCAAGACTCCGTCTCCATCATCAAACCGCATGAACAGACTCCAGTCAATAAGGATTTGAGCAATATCTTGATGAAACAAAAGACATTGAAGAAATATTTGCCAGAAAACAAAACAGAGAAGAAAATGCACCAAAAAAAACCCTAAGAAGAACCGAAGATTGACGGAGAAATAATGGAAGTTCCGGTCGCTTCCAGGATAGATTTGAGTTTCGAGGGATTCTGCTAAACGAACCCCGTAGTGGGAGAAGTGCTTCTGAGCGCGCCACGTTCACACGTGTGGAGTGTGTCAGTAATCGTACATAATTTTTTATTTTCTAAAAATAATATTTTCATCTATTATGTATTTTTTTTACTTTATATTTTATTTTAATTTACAATTTAAATTTTTATCTCTCCGTTCATAGCACTTATTTTTAATGTGTTTCCTCGGTCAGGGAGAGGTTTCCTCCCCCCTAAAAATGATGCTTCAAAAAATTCACCTTTTTTTGGTCTAGCGTCTTCGCTAACACACCATTCAGTGTCCACTCCTTTTTTAGGCTCAGTGTCTTCATTGGCACACTGCTCCGTGTTCACCCCTTTTGGGTTCAGCGTTCTCATTGGCACACTGCTCAGTGTCCACCCATTTGGGGCTCAACGTCTTCACTGACACACCAACTTGATAACGGACTCTGATACCATTTATAATAGTATAAACTCAGTACTAGTAAAGATTATCTTCCTTAAGATTTCCCTTTCGAGCGTCCCCTCAAAGTTTTTAAACAAACGAATGCTAGAAAGAGATTTACACCTCTTATAAATAGTATTTTGTTCTTCTCTCCAACGACATGGATCCACAATATGTTACTAAAAATATACGATCCACAATATGTTACTAAAAATATACGAGGATAAAATGAAGAGGATGTGTGGTTTTCATCAAAGAAAATGGAAGAGAAATCCATTTGAGTAACGACAAGTTTACAACCTTAAACAAAGAAATACAGTCAAAACACAAAGACACAAAGACCAGAGATTCTATCTATATCTGTAAGCAAATGCACAAAAACATTTACAATCTCAAATAAAGTTTGTGACATTAGGTGTGGCCAAAAGTTTAAACCACCAACCTCCTACTCCTATCTACCTACCAATCTTGTATATTCTAACTAACAGAAGATCAGTCAATGGCACAGACCAGCAGAAGAACATGTTACATTCGGTGCGTTGCAGCGATGCACGGGTGCTCAAAGAAGCTCAGCTCTCGCCTCTCAGCGTTTCAAAATTTCGTGTTGGTTCTTGAAGACGGTACGAACAAAGAATTGTCGTCTGCTTAGCAGGAAGAGTTGGACTTTTAGCAGGGTGTGCTGTATGTATGATGCAGCATCTCCTGCTAAATGAGTTCAACTCTCATAATCTTTGTGTTCGTGTTTAGCCAGAGAAGAGCGCTCGAAAACGGGGTTCGGTGTTATGATTCTGAAGTCTCGGGGCCGGAAGACAATGTACTGCTTTCCAGAAAAGATGGATTCAGAAACTTGGCTACAAAAGCCCACATTTTATAAACATCTTCAAAGTTGGTAAGGAATCCGAGCGATACTGTGACGACCTCGACTCGAAAAAATAGTTTCTTCCTGTTGTGACCATTAGCCATTGGTTTGCACAATGCCATGTCTTTGAGATCATACTGACCGGAGTTCTGCTTCGGAACGTCGACTGCACGGACATGGCTGAGGATACCAACTCCAAGAGATATTCCATTATTTTCAGCCAGTTTCTGTACAACTTCCGGATGAATTAGCCCTCTTCCATTGCTTTCTTTTACATTAAAAGCAACCGCAGCACCTCGTTCGTATTTGATCTTCGGTCCATACAGTTGTACAAGGTGAGTTCCTACATCGTCTCGACCCGGTAGTCGGAGTTGAAGTAATGAAGTGACGAGCCAGTTAATGAGATACCTCAGTCGGAGAGTGGTCCTGTTGAGGCCTAACATATCGATATGATCGAGATGTCGACAGATCATTTCGGGCTCCCTCCTTCCCCATTCTTGCTCGTCAACGTACTCTCCATCACTCATCGATTCCTCATTGTCAAAAGCTGCATTAGATGCTTCTCCGAGCTCAAACATCTCATTCAAGCTTTCTTTTTCATTATATTCTACACTAAATGATACTCGGCGACCCATGCTAAGCGCTCTTTCTCCGTCTAAACCGAAGAATCCACGTTCGGAAAACCTACTCCTTTCCCTCCGACCTAAGAGTCTGAATTCCCCTTCTGTCTCCCTCCTTATAGCACTTTCCTTCAAGTCTTTTAAGGCTCCAGCTGCTGTGGAATTTGAAAGCTTCAAATCCTGAATCTCGAAAGTCTGATTCGCAGATCGGTTTCCATTCGAGGCGAAACTCAACCTATTCGAGATCGATTCTTCTCCAGTTTCTGAATCCTCCTGAATCTCACTAACAGCATGAGAATCTTTCAAGCTTCCAACATTGCCACAGCAGGAGTCTTGTTCTCCAGATTGTTCTTCTTCAGGAATCCCCTCCACCCGACATAGATCCTGCGACACTGATAATACAGCTGCATCAAACGACAATACCGAATCGTCACGGTGCCTTGGATTCGCCCGCTTATCATCACCACCACATATCGGACTTCTCAACAACCTCGATGCTGGTTTTGGTGAAAGTTGCCTACTGTTCCTCTTACCAGAAAACCAAGATGGTGGTAAGGGTGATGACCATGTTTTTTGCTTAATCAAATGGCCAGAATTATCAGAACCAAATGGACTATGTCCCAAATCAATCCAATATGAATTATCCGACGACTCGTCCTCGCTGAAGATCGGACTCTTCATAACCTCCCCAACCGAAATGCTCTCAACTTCCTCAAAAATGGTACTAGCTCCATCCCTGTCCGAGCTATTATTATCTTGTTCAATCTCAGTCTCAAACACATCCCTCACCTGGTTCGTCGTAAACACGCCCGAAAAAGCAGGCATTCGTGACTCCTGATGCGTCTCAGTTTCAGAATCCTCCTGACCATTGATAGCATCATCTTCAATCCCAGCCAACACATCCAAACCATCGATCGAATCGCCGATGTACTGCGGGAAAATAGGCAGTATCCTCACCATTCCTGTACCTGTCCGCCCACATTGACTTTGCAAGCTCCCTATAACAGATTTCTTAATCAACAGGCAGCCAAAACCAGTCGGATCAGATCCGAAAACACGATAAAACGACGTGATTATAAAATCTGGCCTAAAGAGGGAGAGCCCCAAGGAATCCATGTCCTTCGGACCAAGCGAGCCAGCATCGAGCAAGACGTGCCAATTGTTCTGCTGGGCAAGAGCCATCCATTGGTAAGAATACTTTGCTCCTGTAACTCTTGACTGAACAGGAAACACAAAAAGCCCAGAAACAGAATCCTTCTTCCTCTTCCTCTTGTTTGTGATCTGTTTCCTGAGCTCCCTTGAACAGAGTCTTAAAGTTGGCCACTTAAACCAAGCACTGTAAACCTTTGCACCTCTTTCTTTAGCATTCTGAGCCATCCAACTCACAGATTGACTCTCATGATCAAACATGGTCAACAATTTCTTATTCGTATGAAAAGGATACGACTCGGCCAAGAGCTTAAAAGCTGACCCCCTACTGACTGTAAAAACAAGCCCATATTCATTCTCGGAAATGTTAAGGTAATTCATAATCCGTGTCTTGATGTCGTGTTCAATTGTGCCTTTCTCGGCGCCGCCGTAAAGGGCGTGGTTGTTCAAATTGGCAGTGATTTCCGAGAGAGTAAACGCAGAAGACTCCCAGAATTGTTGAGTTTGAATATACGAAAATAAACCAAACCCACAGTAATCAAGACATACCTTCGAAAACGACTCTGATAAATGCTCGTAATCCTCTGTTCTTAATTGATCGATTTGTTCCGACGACTGGAATTTCGGGTACATGGTGAGGAACTTGGTGAAGGCGTCGAAAAGATTCGGAATCAAATCCTCCGTGGAATAGGTTCGGTCGGCGGCGAGTGCGGTGGCGCGTAGAAACTCCTTCTGGGCATGAAGCCGAGCGAGAGATCTCGACCGTCGAACATTCCCGTCGTGATTTGGCGAATCACAGTCAATGTCTCTGGATTTCGCCAAAGACCCATCTTCAGAAGCTTCCTCAAGAGCCTCTCTGAGCTTGTTTTCTTGCAATTGCCTGAGAATGGAGGATTTGCGCCTCTCTGTAAGACCAGACCCATGTCGCCGTCTGGATTTCTTGTCCATGATTAAAGCGGCGCAATGGGACAAGGGCTTCCATAGTGAAAGATGCATGAATTCTTCACAAAACAACCAAAGCGAACGAAATCGTAGAGCTGAAGTTGAAGAAACTCGGGCTTTAAAAGAGGGTTTCTGAGCTTCCGGGAGTTAAAGAACCAAAGAACCAGCTGGTTCTCTTTTCTTTCCTTTTTGGATTTTCAATTCAACTGGTAAGGCAGACGCATTAGGCCACATCGCTAACTTTTGCGAGATCGATATCAGTGGGTCTTAAAGAGAAGGTATAAATAAAGGAAAAGATATCAAAGAACAAAAGGGTCACCAGACTAAGCGACATTACCTTTAATACGATCAGCAGAGAAGAACCCTTTACTTTCTTCAAGGGCCCATCACTGAAAATGGCTCCATTTCAAAAAACTCATCTCCATCACCAGCAACTCATTCAAAAATTCAAAACAAAACAAGAAACCCGTAAACCCCAGATTCACAAGCTTTAATACTAGCCTTTTTTGAACTGAGGATCCCAAAGTTTTTTACAGAAAATGGCATATACCCATTAGAACAGAGCTTTAATCGAACCAGGAACGAAAATGTGAAAACAGAGCACTAGAATATGAACAGAGAAGCCGCCCAGAAAGATAATGAATCTTAAACCAAAAGAAAACGGTTGGGATTAGGGGAAAGGACGAAAAATAAGGGCAGAAAACAGCATCCAACAACTCCTCCAACCAACATCGGCAGCTCCCCCACCACTCTTCCAGTAAGCAAGAACAGAGAGAGTGAGAAGAAAAAGAAGAAAAGGGGTTTCTGAGACCCCATAAATTCCCACATTAACTATGGCAATCGATACAAACATGTCTGCATTGAATGCTGGTTGGCTGTTTCTTTCACATCTCCCACCATTATTACGCCTCCACCATTAATAAATCCCAGCTCGACCCCTCTATCCCCCAATGGTCCACTCCTCCACTCTGCCGAATTGCTCTTTTCTCTTTGTTTATTTCATTTTGGATTCAAAATCTCTCTCCCTCTCTTTCTTTGTTCTTCGATTTTGGTGAAAGAATCCAAAGTCCAAATCCCTATCCCAATTACTGTCTGTCTCCGGACATTGACACCGTAAAGGGTAGAATGTTTGAGTACGAAAGATCTTCATTGTAGAGTACTTGTTAAGACCTCCATGATTCTTGTGAAACAAACATTCAAATGATTGTAAATCAATTTCTAGTTAATGTAAGAACAAGTTAATTTATAACATTTTTAGAGACTTTTCTCTCTATTGACTGATATAAAGCCTCAACAAAACAATCATTCCATAACTCTCATATTCCCCTTCTTTATTTATGTCTTTTTTATTTTAATCCTTTAATTAAATTAGTTTTTTATCAATATTTCTTCTATTGAGTTAATTTGGGTTTTGTCTTCATTGCCACTAATTTCCATCAGAAGACTAGAGGAGATTGTCGACTACTCGTTGGCAACAACGCTACCTAAGCATGAACGGATTTAGTGTTTGAAAGGGACACTGTTCTATACTTTTCACCGCTCTAATTAAGTTTTTTTTAGTTCAACCATTTCAAATGTCCTAAGTTCATTTGATGTTTAAAATTATATATACTATTTTCACTTATTATTTTATTTTTAAAACATAATAATATTTGATAGCATCAAGGGGAAGGGGAATAGTAGAGTGATTAAGGTCATTATCACATACCTAAAAGTACAATTATCTTAAATCCGACCAAAACTTTAATATAATTACGGAATATAATTTGGCTAATCATAGTCAAATCTTCATTAATTAATTCAAAACGTACTTTAAAAAAGCATGCCACATGCATGCATGCACATGCATACCATTGGCATCACATTACATGTCCCCACCATCACGTCAGCTTCTCTAATAAAGTGGTCAACACTCAACAGACAATGATTCATTATTTTATTTAACAAGAAAATAAAGTCAAATTATGAATTTATTCAAACATATCAACTTATAATAAAACCAATTCAATTTTAAAATTATTTAAAATTTTAAATTATGCCTAAAAATTAGAGGCCAAATTAAAAAGTTTAAATGGTTAAGAATTAACCTAAACGGTAATGAGTAAAATAAGTTAATAATTAATTAGAGTATTATTTAAAAAAATTATGAATGTTGAATTTCTCTTAAATAATATTTATTTATATAAAAATATTGAAATTTGAATAATTTATAGAAATGTCAATCCTTGATATTGACAAGGTTGTCGGGTGTATATGTGTTGGGTTCGATTCTGCCTTGTCTTTTTTCTATTTGGATTGCTTTCTTTCAATTTCTTTTAAAATAATAATAATAATAATAATAATAATATTTTTTAAATATTGTTTTTATGCTCCATGTATAATTTTATTCAAACAAATATTATCTATTTGACTTATTTGACTTTTTCCGTCGAATCCCGAGAGGTTTTCACACAATCCACCTTCTATAGTGCCTAGTGTTTTCACCAGCACATGATCTGTGTCGAACTCTTATACCATTTCTAAAAACTTAAGTCCATTGTTAACAATATATTGTCCTATTGGATATAGAATTCCTCTCAAGGTTGCGTTTTTTTAGGAACGTCCTAGTTCTCCTCTACAACGATGTAGGATTTCACTATCCACTTCCCTTGGGTCGTTAGCGTCTTCGCGGGCACACCGCTCGATGTGTAGTTCTGATCTCATTTGTAGTAACTAAAGTTCACCGCTAACAAATATTATCCTTTTTAGGGCAAACGGTTAACAATGACATTAAAATTTATATATATATATACACACACGATTTTATGGTAGTAGATCTATAAATTAAAAAAATATATATACAAAACTATAAAATTTATTAAATTATGTTTAATGTTAACGCCAAAATAAATAAATTGTTATCCTAAGTTCGTCTGGCAATTATTATTTACAAAATGTAACAAAACTTAGTAAGGTCGAAAATGAGAATAATTTTAGGGTTATTTTCTTGTTGGGCCTGGACGGCCGAAGGAAATGGGCCTGGCCCAAACCCAAAACTGTTTGAAGTTTGAATTGCCCTATCTGAAATGCGATCCCTCTCGTTCTCCCGAGTCCCGCGCTTCCAGCAATGGTGCGCTGTAGTCTGTTGCAACAGAATCACGACCACTTCAATGGGAGTCGACTATATTTGGAAAATGACCGGCGGCAGCGGCTGAGAAGCCGCTGAACCACCGAAGGATAGGATCCCCTCCGGTATAAAATCCCACCGGAGTCCCCATTCATCTTCATCCATTCCAAACAGCCCTTGGGAGTACCCAAGGAGGCGGCAATAGTTTCTCAATAAAGAAATAAAAATAAAAGAAATAAAGAGGATAATGAAAGGCTCGGGCTGCTGTTTGTTCTTTTCTCTTCTTCTTCTCCAATCTTTTTCGTTTTTCGCTTCGGCTCTTTCCGATACCGAAGCGTCGTTCATTGCCCGCCGCCAGCTTCTAACCTTTCTCGAGACCGATGATTTGCCCGACGATTACGAGTCCACGGTTGTGGTGACTGAAACCTTTCCCAATTCCAGGCTCCGACGGGCTTTCATTGCCCTTCAAGCCTGGAAGAGGTCCATTTATTCCGACCCTTTAAACACCACCGCCAATTGGGTCGGCGCCGATGTCTGTTCCTACACCGGAGTTTTCTGTACCTCTGCTCTGGACGACCCCAATGTCCAAGTCGTGGCCGGAATTGACCTCAACCATGCCGACATCGCCGGTTACCTCCCCGTTGAGCTCGGTCTACTGTCGGACATCGCATTGTTTCACATCAACACCAACCGGTTCTGCGGCCTTGTCCCGCCGAGCTTCGAGAGGATGATTCTCCTTCACGAGCTTGACGTTAGCAACAACAGATTTGTGGGCCCTTTTCCTGAAGTCGTTTTGAGGATTCCGAATTTGAAATTTCTGGACATTAGATTCAACGATTTCGAAGGGAAATTGCCTCCTGCCCTTTTCACCAAGGAGCTCGATGCCATTTTCCTCAATAACAACAGATTCACCTCCCACATTCCTGAGAGTTTCGGCGACTCGCCGGCGTCGGTGATCGTGATTGCCAATAACAACTTCACAGGGTGCATTCCGACAAGCATTGGGAAAATGGGGAACACGTTGAACGAGGTTTTAATGTTGAACAATGCGCTTGGTGGTTGCATCCCTGGTGAGCTTTCTCTGCTTGGAAATGCGACGATTTTCGATGTTTCTTCGAATCAATTGAGTGGGAGCTTGCCGATGAGCTTACATGGGTTGAAGAATGTGGAAATTATTGACGTTTCTTCCAATAGTTTGACCGGTGTGGTGCATGGAGGCTTGTGTAATTTGCCTAAATTGGCTGAGTTCACATTCGCTGATAATTTGTTTGATGGCGAAGACACTAGGTGTGTGCCTCAGAATAGACAGGATGTTTGGTTGGATGATGCTGACAATTGTTTGCAAGGGAGGCCTAAGCAAAAACCGGCGGAGACTTGTAGTTCAGAGATCACAAAGGCCGTGGATTGCAGTCGGGTTAAGTGCGGCGGAGGATCCACACCTCCTAAGCAGCCAGAGGCACCAATTGATGATCCTCATCGTCAATCACATGTCCCAATGAACCACCCTCCTCCTCCACCTGTAATCAACTCGCTCCCACCACCACCTCCGGTCGCCTCACCCCCACCACCACCTCCGGTCGCCTCACCCCCACCACCACCTCCGGTCGCCTCACCCCCACCACCACCTCCGGT